CTTGCCAGGATGTTTTTTCATATGTGGATAGCTTTAGAGAGCGTCGGGATGACATATGTTCAAATTTACAGATGTTACCAGCGGTCGTTACGCACTTCTTTAAACTGTCAACTTGGCGACAGCAGCAGAAACTTTGTCTTCGATTTGTTGTAGGACATCAAGCACACTTTCTTGAAATTCAATTTTTATCTGAAACCGCGTCTACTCTGCCTTCCATAGCCTCGAATTGGTTTTCTACCATGTCAGTAGTTTCTCTTTTCATTTCCTCTTGGCTTGCTTCCATTTCTTTTTTAACGGATTATTGGCTAGCTTTCATCGTTTCTTTTACATAGTTAAAGGCTTCTTCCACCTTTCAGGAACATAAGGTACTTTTAGAAGCAGGCAAGATGAAAAATTAGCAACGCCTTCGCCGGGAATCGAACCGCGGACCTTTCAATTACGCGCTGAGCGTGCAGAACACTGCACCACGAAGGCTCGCTAAAAGGTGGGAGAAATACCTTATAACCTTTCCTTAGACAGCTTTCATCTCTGCATTAACGGAGTTGACGGCCCCTTCCATCTTTTCTTGGACTGCAACAAAGACAGTCACCAGTTATCTAAGTGTTCATCCATCGCTCTTGTCACCAACATTCAGTCCCATTTCTGACACCCAAAATTGTTGCTTGTGCACGGATTTGCAATAGATTGAATGCACAGAGAACCTATGACAGCTAGATAAAATTTATTTTATCAAAAGAAACGCTTCACAGTTTCAGAACATTCCACAAAAATAAACGCATAGCTCTTCACAGTATCACATAGCACAATCAGTAATTACACTTCAAATTACTAAGAATGTTAAACAGAACGCAATGCAAAGCACATCTAAAAAGAGAAGCTATCACGGCTATCTCAATACTCCGAATTTAGCTCTGAACTAACAACTGAGACCAGATGGTCTCTTCGGTCTTATATAAGTTATAATTTAAGTTAAATATAATATAAGTTAAAATTTAATTTCTCAGCATTTCTTAAATGCCACTAAATGTACTTCTGTCATTCAGCACTACATACTTATGAAAAATGACTTTAATTCTTTAAATCCAGATCTCATTCCATGCTAAAAATTGCTGAAGATGCTTTATGCCAATCAGTGTCAAATATTGCAAGATTTAATTTGTTATGCAGTAAAAAACAACCAACAAAATCAACAAAATCCATCAAAATCACAAAAACAACAAAATCCATCACATTAGAATGTACTTTTTTCCCCTTCTTTTCTGTATACTTGATACAAGTTCTAAAACTAATTCTTTATGTATATTCTTTACCAAAGAAATAAATTATTTATCAGAAGCTATTTATTCTAATCTTTATTTTATATTTAATATCTGAGATCGTAAAAAAATCTTGATGATAAAAAAGAGCTATGAATGAGAAAAGTTTAAGAAGTGCTGTTCTAAACAATTTGAAATTTTTCTCAGTAAACAATTTATAAGTATAATATTTCTACTGCATATGAGTACTCCAAAATTAAAAAGAAACTGAATTAATGATCGACTACTGGATAATAGAATTAATAACTAACAGCTGAATTAACGATTAACGCAAGGAATACAACAACAAGGATTTAATGGGATAATAAATGCTCTAGTTCATTAAATTAAATCAGAATATTTATGAATTCTTAATGTGCTTAGTCTGATACATTACTTTTCTTATTAAATGGCATGGATTTCTTACTACTTTTCTAAATTTAAAGTATAGTCTTGAAACTCTTCACAATTATTTCTGGTCAAATTAATTTTGTATCTCGACAACCCACTCACACATCTCTAAAATATTTGGCCACTGTTATTTACCTCTAAGTATCAAATAGCAATACTTATAACCAGGTATTGAATAGTCAGGTATCATCAGTACAGGTGATGGAAGATAAGGATACTTGGTGTTTAACATTGGTAATCAGGTTTTGTCTTTCACTTTTTCCTATCCAGAGAAAATACATTCGCAGAACCCCAAAATGCTGCTTTGGAGGTAGAATTTAATTATTATACAGTATATTCCATGAACCTTCACCCATTCGTCAAAAACCTTTTAATGCTATTTTTGAAAGGTTTACTGAATGAGATCATAGTCGATGTAAGATATAAGTTAAGCCTTCAGAAATCACAACCATACATCCATCGCTCTTGAATTGCACAATCTATTGTAGTTGTTTCAAAACATTTTGACTTGAAGTCCTTGGAATCAACTCCTCTAGCGCAGCCTTTAGACCTATCTATATCGTACAATAGTCTTATAGGTGTAGAAAAATATATAGCTAGTAGAGGAATACAAACTAAAGAGATACTATATGAATAGTTGTGCAATATTCACAAAATGCAATATTTTCAAATCTTTAAATTTACCATAATATTTCAATTTCTTCTCAACATAATACTGTCATAGGTTAGCTATACATAAAGAATATCCAAAGTTCAATAAATCATTTTGCACTGCAACATATATATTACATTACTGCTGATAGCATATCATTAAGGTCATTGCAATAAATTTGGTTCCTGCAAGCTAATCATTAAATGCAATTCACTTAAATTTACTATTGTGCAACTAAAATGCATTGCATGTCTAAACTAAGACATAATATGAAGAATATAAAACTGTTTAATGAGACAGCTATAAATTGCTTTTTTATGCAAAGATTTGTCTTTTTTTAGGTTCAACTATTGATATAATTTAGCTTTCTCAGGTAAGATTTTGAACTCATCTTGCATGTGTTAAAACTCAGGTAGACTTTGTTTTTTAGAATGTGATTTTTAGTTCACTGTGAGATTAAATCTACAAAGACCTTGATACTATACTTAATCTTGTGAATTTAAACTGGATAGTTTTTCTACTCACACTGAACACATTCAATATCCATTCTTCAAGTACCAGTGATCAAATGGATCTTTCAAAGCTTCAAATGTATTTTTATATTTTTTCTTGAATTTTGATACTATTTTCTCCCATAAAATATTTGTAAAAGAGATATAATCATTATCTTTCTTTTTCCCCTTCACTCATATGTCACTTAAAAGAAGGCACTTTAGCATTTGCATTAAAAACTCTAACATTGACAAATTCATTTTGATAATAATTTCAATCAATAAAACATTTTGCACGTTCTATTATCATCATTTTAAATTGTCTCCAGTATAGCATTATGATTCATTAAAAATTCTATTGTAGCATTTAAGTTTTACTAATTAAACATTTATTTGATTTAATTTACATTTTTTCTGTTTTGTATCACTTTGCCACGAGGTTTGCTCAACCCAGAATTTGACATGCGATGTGATCAAGATGTGAGTGACAAGCAGGTTTAAATGAATAATAGCAGCAGTTAAGTTGAATAATAATGCAGGTTAAGTTGAATGAATTGCACATAGCTGTATGTGAGAATTTTGGCCTGTCTGTAAATGTTGCTTTGCATACAAAGTTTTGGTCTTTCTTAACATTGTCTTGAATTAAATACTACAGAGGATAGATTCAGTTTTGGTAAGTTGAAAGTTTGAATCTCTGTCATCATGGTATTAGGTGAAACTTATAGTCTCTTAGCAAGACATTATATTATTTGAATTTCTAGTAGATGAAAGTTTTTATTTAAGCTAGATCCATTTGGCTGGTGATATTGTATAGGATATTTTTAATTTAACCCTCACAGCTAGTGAGGTAGAATAAATTTCTTACTTAAGCATACTTAAGAAGTGCATATAGAAACCTCAGGGCTCTGCAAAGCACCATTGATCTAATGCTCTAACGAGAAAAGTCCAATAACTAATCAAATTCTATGTATCTTACTAATACAGAAGTAAAAAGAGAACCTGAAAAATTCTTTTTGAAAAATTGGAAACTTTCTTCCAAAAGATGGCTATTGTATTTCCATTTAAATATAGAACTGCAGAAATTTTGTATTGCACACCCACAATGAACAATATAATTTGTTAAACTAAGACTTATATAATACATAAAAAAATTAAACACTTACCTTTTTCAAAACGCCAAAATTCAGTTTTTTTTTTTCTTTTTCATTGCACCAATAGTGCACCAATAGTGATCTCTATTGCCCATCAGCTTGCACCATTATAACACACACATTTTTCCTTTTCGTTGCAAATCATAGAAAAATGCAGTCATAAGGTCTCATAAGGCTTACAAATAACATAGAATTTAGACAGATATACTGTTTTCGCTGTTTCAATATATGCAGTTTTAAAATTCACAAATAACATTAAAAAACACACAACATGTGATGAAAACAAAAACATCCCACAGTCTCATAAATTCAGTTATCAAAAAAATAAAACTGCCAAAATAAAATCATTACAAAACAATGTAAAAATTAATTAGATACTGAAGGGGGAAATTATTATCTAATGTGGAAAAATCAAATTTGGCATGACCCTTATACTTCATTTTAGATGGGGATGAAATATCTAACTAAAACAAGATTAAATGTTTAAGAAAAATGATTAGATTCATAATGAAACAAACCAGATTTTAAAATATCAGTTTGGTCTTATTTATCTGTTAATAAATACAGAAAATACTAAAACTATGCGGAAATTCTTTACCATCAAAATGTTATTAATTAGATATTGAAGGTGAAATGCAACTAATTGTTATATCTTGAACATGATTTCTTCTATTTTTGACAGCTATTAATTTGAAACACAAACAAAAGATCACTTCAGACCATTTCCCACAACTCGTAGACATAATCTTAAAAATCAGTACAAATTAAATGAAAAATTGTACTTAATCTTTATCTTAAATTTAAAATGATATGTTTCTTTTATATCCATTAGCCTTTAAATCTATTCAAACTAAGTTAAAATTCAACCAATGTTTATATTTTCAGGAAATTTAATTTTTGTTCTTGTATAATGTGATATTTACAGAAACAAGCATTTTGAACCTTAAATATTGAACAAACTCAATAAAAGACAGGGAGGAAAAAAGGAAAGACATAAATATACTCTTGGTAAGAAAATAATACAGAATTTATTATTTCAAAGTTATATTAATGATACGAACATCATCATATGGTTTATCTGTTTTAGGATTTGTTTTCACCGTGCTGATATTCTGACATACTTCCATACCTTTAGTGACTCGTCCAAATACAGTATGTTTATTATCTAACCATGGAGTTGGTATAACTGTAATAAAAAATTGTGATCCATTTGTATTTGGGCCAGAATTGGCCATACTCAGAGTGTATGGGCGATCATGTTTGAGTGTAGGATGAAATTCATCTTCGAAATCTCCACCCCAAATTGATTCTCCAGATGTTCCGGTACCAGTTGGATCACCAGTCTGGATCATGAAACCTTTGATAACTCTATGAAATATATGTCCATTATAGTAATTATTTTTACTATGAACACAGAAATTTTCTACTGTTTTAGGACATTCTTTAGGAAATAATTTGCAATGGATGTCGCCCATTGTAGTATGGATGACACAATTATGATACAGCTGTTGTTGACTGAGAGATTCAGTAGCAGCAATGATATCTTCTTTTGATGGTTTTTCATTGAAAATATCTCTTTCCGCATCAATACTCTTTGTATCCTCTGGCTCTCTACATGTAAATAAATAAAAACGATTCTTTTTAAATGCTGTGCAGAAAAGAGTAGGATCACTGGATATGCCTTCCAATGCAGGATTATCAGAAGCCTTCATTTCCACAGTTACGGCAGCCTTAGATTTATTTGGAATACCTTGATACAAAGCTAATTTCAAAGGTCTAATATTTTCGTTTTTTCCTATTACTCTGACACAACGATTTGTATAAACATTCACTGCTTTAATTCCTAACATAGTTGCATACAAAATAAAATAACCACTTTCATCAAACACAATACCTGCTGTATCAAATGCTTCTGATTTCTCTAAATCCCTTTCAATAGCCATCCTGCGTCCAAATTCCATGTTAGGAAGTTGCGGACAAGTTTGCTGAAGTTCCGATAATTGTTGTAAACTCTCATCATACACGCGAGTCATTTTTCCAGTCAAAAAGCGAAATATTCTAACTTTTCTGTCCACACTCAAAACTGCAAACTGATCTCCTTTTGGTGAAAAGGCAAGATCGGTGGGATAGGTTTTATGTTTTACGAGTTCGTAAAGATCAGTGTCCAACTTTGAGTCAAATTTTAAACATTTAGGAAATGTAAAGTCTTGCTTTATAGTTGACCAATATTCAATCAATCCATTTCTATCACACGAAATTACAGCTCTATATACTGGATTGTATTTAATAATTGATATAGCTGTTAAATGCAGTTTTTCAATAATATGCAATGGTTCATTCACTTCTTTCCCATCATAAATATAAATTTCTCTTGAACCATGAGCAGAAACAGCAAGAGCTGCAATAGCATCCCCTGCACCATGAATCCATTCACAATAACCTGGGCAATAATTTAACTTCATCATATTAATCATGTCAAAATTAATAACATCAAACACTTTTAAGGATTTATCATTGGATACAGAGCATAACAAAGTACCGGATGAATTCACACTGATCGACTGAATATTACCTAAATGAGCTCGAAAATGCTTTACAAACACAATTCCTTCCTCAGTCTTCTTCCAAAATTTTAAATGGCCGTCACAACTCGCAGTGATCAAAAAATCAGTTTTAGTCACAGCAATATGTGTGACAACATCACGATGCATGTAACTCTTTTCATAAGACTCTTTATCAGGAATATTTTTTATGTACATATGCTCAAATTCTAATGTTTTTTTCTTTTTTACTGGTGCAGCTTCCGACAGTAAAGGCCCGATACAGTCTTCACTATTTGAGTCGCCTGATGTACATTCGAGTTCTCTCTTTCCTGACATTGTTCAAAAGTATCATAAAAGAGCAGCTCTCCTCACATAAAAAGGTTCATGTAATTGATAAAAAAAGATGAAATGAAATCCTATCTCGCACTTTACGTTACGTCGGCACTTACAGAGAAAATTACTTCATAAGCTATATGATAAATAAAAATAAAACAATTTGATGCACAATAACTTTACATTTTTCTGCCCTGATGAAGAAAATTTAGCCAGCGTGATTGGCAGTAGAGACTATTTGTAGATATTTATGCTCACTGATGTTTCTTAACATAAAGAATAGAAAAGAAAAAGTAGGTATTGTAATATTATGTATATGAACGAAGTAAGCACTTAAAATATTACATTTATCTCCACAATATTTAGTGTATTATAATAATTTCTGCCTTGATCTCATATTCCTCCATTTTGTATCCGTTATATAAAAGGATATATATTCAAATGACATATTTGAGTAATATTTGTTATAAACATGTGACTATTTTCAGGACAAAAATGGAAATAATAAAATTTCGACCTCCAACAATTTACCAACTATTTTGCGAACGACAATCTACCAACTATTTACTTCCCTTTCCTCCGAGTAATGCAAACACCGGATTACCTCAAGGAGGTTAGAATAGAAAGAGGGAGGGTTCGCGGTTTCCTCCACTATCGGGGAATGAAACTCCGCCGAACAAGCGGGTCCATGTTTGTGACTTCAAAACATTGCATTACGGCAGTGACATGTACGTGTTTCTAACCTTTTCCGTGCATTTATTTTCCAGTAAAAATATGTTAAATTTATAATGAAAGCCCTCGCTATTGTTGAATTTTTGTTTTAAAGTAATAAAGATGATATCCATAATTTACTATGTACAACAAATTATTAAGAAATAGTTCGAAATCTAAATGCATGCGCCATAACATTAAAGTCTTAAAAAATGATGTTTCTGCTAATTCACGGACTTGCTTAGGTTAGAAAAATAAATCTTAATAAAATAAAACAGATTTATGTGAATTCATTGATTTCAGTTTATGCGCATTTCATATTTATTAATCTCAAAGAAGAAATTGCCTTGAATTAAGCTGAATTACAGAAATACACCTATATAAATTTTTGGATACATCTTTCCGCATGTTCAATTGTGTGTAAATATTTTACTTACTTTTATCGCTGTACTGTCCAGAAATTTGTAAGTTTATGCAAAACAATTTTAACAATAGAACAGTTTATCTTAAAAAAATGCACAAATTATATTCGTAACGAGTTCACGAAACTTTAAAATGAACAATAATTCATACAGAAAGAAAAGCATTGCTTTATTTAACACCTTCACAATTCATAAAAAATAGCAACAATTGATTTCTTTCTTTTCATGAACAGTTATAAAACGAATTAACCTAAAACGTTCAAATTATAAAAATTTAAATCCTACCATATAGCATTGTATCTTAAGGAACGAAGATACCAGCTATAAACAGAAACATTGAAAATGTATTTAACATATTTTGATTATAGTTATATTAAATAACCTATTTTGATTATTTAAGTCCCTTTTTTTTCACATCTGGAAAGAAAACCAACATGACATTGTGATATTTTTTGACATAGTTGTCGTATTACATAAAAAAAGAAAATCAATACTTACGTGTGAAAAATAACGCCCAGAATTTTTTTCGAGAATCTATTTGTGCATCCCATATGCAACACAAGCTGACATGCTTCAAAAAGAAAAGAAAAAAATGTTGCAATGACAGACTTCCTTGCACAAGTCACGGTGATAACAGGAAGATGGCCGCCAAGCTTCACCGTTTGAGTTGAACCTTCCCTCCTTCTATTCTAACCTCCTTGGATTACCTGGTCTGTGGCGACCTACCTCCTTCTAGTAAATAGTTACTTTCGATATTGTGCGAATTAGAGCTACTAGAGATATAGTAGCCTTTTATAGTAGCCTTAGTGTGAATGATAACTAGAGTATAAAAATTAGCAAGCATGTTGTCTATCTTTTTCTGTTATCCATGAATTTTTTTTTTTTTTTCAGTACTTTCATCATCTGGAATTTGGTTGCTAGGTTTCTTCAACTGACTTTTTAAAATTTTATACTTCATTTTCCTTGCTAATTTCTTTTTAATTTTGTTATTCCATTTTTTTGTTTTGAAAATAAGGATATGTTTATAACAAATCTTTCTCAAATACGTCATTTCAATATATATTCTGTTATAAGAATATATATATTAGGATGATGAAAGTGCTAAAAAACCTAAGAACAAATTTTATTAAATCCACATAACCCAGAACCCATATTTATAACAAATCGTTTTCAAATACGTCATTTCAATATATATTCTGTTATAAGTATATATATTGGAATGATGAAAATACTAAAAAAACCTAAGAAAAATTTTATTAAATCCTTATAACCCAGAAGAGGCCTGAAAAAACGTATTCATGGATGATAGAAAAAGATAAACAGCATGCTTGTTAATTTTTAAATTTTACTATCATTCGCACAATAGTTGGTAGATTCTCATTTGCATAATAGTTAATAGATTATTAGATAACGAGGCCGCTGTGACTGCAATTTTCGCATTCCTATCTAATTGTGTATGACATTTATTTTGGAATTTTAGCATAATTTTCGATTTAGCATTTTTGAGTACTTTTCTGTGCTTGGAATGTTAGATTATTAATGTGCTCTTCAAGTTTCATACTAATCTTTTACCAGTCTCGAGAGTTTGCCTTTTTATGTTGCGGAGTATTTGAAATACGCTGTTATGAGATTATAACATCTTCATAAATTTACGCATCTTAATATATTTTTAGCATCACTTCCGCTGACAATTTTGATAAGCTACTTTTCGATGGAGGTTGGATTTCCGAATCCGAGTACCTCGGTGATGCACCATTATTATCCCACACAGGGAATTTAAGAAATCAGAATCAGAAATAATTTTCTATGTCATCAGAAGGTCATTTTCACCCCCAGAAGCCTACTACCATGGACAGGTAATGGCTGCAGTGGATTCTAAGCACTTATATGCATCCAGATATTACAGTAGTAATGCATAAGTTTTTCCACTTCCTTTTTGGAAAACACGTCATATATTAAACCAACAATAAAAGTACAGTATGTACTTTTCTAACAATAGAAATTTCAAATGGCCGTCTAGCAATGGAGAGGATAACTCTTTAACTGTGGAAGTAACAAGAAACGAATTTTTTTGGGGGAAAAAATAACTCTGTTCAGATTTATTTAGGACATTATATAGTCACTTCAAGCTAAATTTCGTATATATTTATACATACATTCAAATTCAAAATCTGGACCTCATAAGCGCAAAGTATTTTTGCCATGGTTAGTAGAGTAGTTTATAGCTATATCTTTGACGAAATAACTTTTATTATCGAAAGATTATTTATACCTGCTCTGTCACTGTTACCAAAAGTTTATTTCAGAAATATATCCCAAAGCAGTGGCGTAGCTAGGGTGGGGCAAGGGGGACATCTGTCCCCGGGCGCAGCATCCAGGGGGCGCCAAATTGATGTTACGAAATGTTAGAACAAGGCCAACTTATACTCAAGGCCTGCCAGACTGAACGAAATTCCGGTTCCCAGTTTTCAGTGGCTTTCGCGAAATCCACCACTAGGTGGCGCTCACATTCTGCTACAATTTTGCTATACGCTCATTATTTGTAACGTGGCTCGTTATTAACAAAAGGTGTATTTTATGTCTAGCTGCTGTATATTTAAGGACTATACTTATCAAGCTTGGTTTTTTTTGCGTAACTTTATATGCATATAGGTTTAAAATTGTGTATATACCTCATTGAACTCAGTTCTGAAATTCCTCATTCTGCTTATTAATTTCTGAAATCTTTGTGCATCTAATGCTGTTATTTTCAAAACTTTGTTTGTAACTTCTGATTAATCTGGAATGGGAATGGTACACATGGATTTATGTCAGGTAGTTACATGTAGGTAATGTATCAAGATGGCACTCATGTGTGTTTAATAGTGATAATATTGTTTTGTGAAATTCAGTAATTTATTTCATGTATACATTATTCTTGATAATGAACTATATCAGTATCTCACGCTGCCAGCCATAAAATTTTGTACACATGTCATTCTGATTAATGTTGTATGTGTGTAAAAATATCTAGCTGCTGTATATTTAAGGGCTATACTTAATAAGCTTGTTTTTTTTTCCTAACTTTATATGCATATAGGTTTAAAATTGTGTATATACCTCATTGAACTCAGTTCTGAAATTCTTCATTCTGCTTATTTAATTCTGAAATCTTGTGCATCTAATGCTGTTACTTTCAAAACTTTGTGTGGAACTTTCTTCTGATTAATCTGGAATGGGAATGGTACAGATGGATTTATATCAGTAGTTGCATGTAGGTAATGTATCAAGATGGCACTCATGTGTATGTGTGCTTAATAGTGATAATATTGTTTTGTGAAATTCAGTAATTTTATTTCATGTATACATTATTCTGATAATGAACTATATCAGTATCTCACGCTTGCCAGCCATAAAATTTTGTACACATGTCATTCTGATAAATGTTGTATGTGTGTAAAAATGTCTACCTGCTGTATATTTAAGTGATGCATTTAATAAGCTTGTTTTTTTTTTGGCCTAACTTTAAATGCATATATATCTAAAATTGTATATATACCTCATTCTACTTAGCATTGTGGGCATGTATGATGGGATATATTATTTATATTCAGCCATTGCAAGTTTTCAAATTTTATCCTTGATATACAGAAACTGAACGTTTTCTTAAGTATATATTGTGATATGAGAGTTATTATTTTTTTTGTGTGCTGTTAAAATATATTTATGATGTCTGTGTCTCTTTTATTTATAACAAACAGATTGATTTGATCAATAGCTTTATCAAAAATTTCATTATTTTCATTTGAAAAATTGAAGTTTCTCTAACACTGAAAATGTAAATTGCTGCAATGCACTTAATTCAATTACTAGTTTCTTAATGTTAACATCAATGAAATTTAGAATACAAATGAAAGTGAAGAGAAACAACCTGTGTAATATTAAAACTTAGTAAAAAAAAGCAACTTTGGGTTTGAGTTTCATTCAAAATCTATGCCACAGTAAGACTTTTTTTTTTTTTTTTTTTTTTTTGGCCTAATAATTTTTAGAATGTCATTC